AAAGAGAGAGTAAGAAAGCAAGCGGCTAGTCCCAGGACTTGATCTGCCATCTGCCACGTGGGAGTCCAGTACCCTTAACCACCACTCTACCTGCCAGCTCCCAGTAAGACTGTTAATCCCTCTATTAACTCTGGGAGGAAGCAAGTCAAATGTGAAGTTCAAAAATGGAGGTGCTTCTGCTTCACAGTCTCTATGTCTGTGTGTCTCTGGAGCGCGCACGTGCACTATAGCAAAAATCTCTCTAAAAAAAAATAATAAAATAAAATGAACAAATAAAAGCTAAAAAAAAATGTCCTTTAATAGAGTGCCCTACAGCTGGTCAGAGCATGACAACAGTGACATGAGGGCTGATAGTGTTAACCCCTCACGGGTGCTCGTGCTACGCTGTGCTGCACGCAGTTCATCACGTAATGCACACGTCCATCCTCCTGCACGCGACGAAGGCCAGAGGGGACTGCCAGCCGGCGGCAAGCTGACTTCATCGTGTGTAACCACATGCTGCCATGCTCCGCTGTGTCATTACACGGCAAGGAACCAGTGCAGGAGCGAGGACGCACACGCTGCAGAGTTCCTGCACGGTGGATGTGGCAGACTGACCGTGTGGCCTGTGGGGACACAGCGGGCCTACAGTTCCCAGCCCACCTGCGTCTGGTAGGTCTCGGGGGGGGGGGGGGGGAGGGCGTGTGGCTGTTTTTGACAAGGGAATGCGAGCAGTCGGTGCGGCACTTCCAGGCGGAGGGTTGACGAGGTGTCTCATAAACGTACTCATCTCACTCTGCCCTGAAGGAAGGCCACGCGTGGACGCGGGCAGCACCACTGGGAGGAAGCCTGGGAAGAGCAGGCCCGTGTCTGCCCACCACCTCACCACTGTGTAGTTCGTGGAGAGCTGGGACTCGGCACAGCGGACTTCACCTACCCGGAGACCGTATAAAACTCATTTCATAAAACGTCAAAACACGGGGATTATAATGGCACAAAGAAACTGCCGCATTCTACTTTATATTCTTTTCTATAATGATTAAAATATTTTTTACAAGTATTTATTTAATTTTATTCATTCATTCATTCATTCATTCATTCATTTTAATTTGACCAGAGAGAGACACCGAGAGAGAGGGAAAGTGAGAAAACAAGTCCCGACCAGGTCCGGGACTCAAACCGTGGTCAGCCATGTGGGAGTCCAGCGCCCTTAACCACCACGCCACCTGCCGGCCCCAAGGCACTGGATTTCCACATGACTGACGGTGGCTCTGTCCTGGACCTGGAGGCTTGAAAAACACACCTGTTGTGTGTACATGTGTGCCCAAAATCCCCAGAGGAAAATGGAAAAGGGATTGTGGTGTGACCATCGCCCCTGGGGCTGATTTCTCACTTTCCCTCACTGTCTCTTTCTCTCTGTCTCTCTCACATCCTATGGCAAAACCTAAGAAAAGACAAAAAACAAAAACAAAAAGAGAAAGAAACCGTACTTTACAGAGCTGATGTGAGAGGAACGGCTGAGGGTTATTACAGAACAAACCCGCCTGCGTAGCTCCGGGGGCTGAGACCCTAGTCCAGTGGGTGTTTAGTGAGCGCTCATTCAAGCCCAGTGCTAGGACCGGGGGTAAAACGCTGCAGTTCTAAGGGAGAGGCAGGTGTGGAGTCGCTGCAAACGAGTCAGCAGACGCCTCAGCAGGGCAAGCACCGCTTCTCCTGCACCCCGGTGTGGCCTGCAGACTTGGGGTCCGCGGGAAGCCAGACCTCCTGGCCGGCTGGCTGCTGCGTCTGCAGCGACACTGAGTAAGCCTGGATCCCGTGTCCGCCTTCCTTCCCATGAAGGCCGGACTGGGGCCACTCCCATGACCTGCTGCAATGCTGCTCACTCCTGAACCTCACGAAGTCACAGCGTGCCCTCCGGGGTGGACCGCCTGAGCTTCTGGTGCCGTAGCCCAGCCGGGTCAGACCCGCCAGGGCCGTTCACGGCATCGTGCCGGGACTGTCGCCTGACCCTCTCGGGAAAGCGGGCACTGGGGCTGGCTCTGGCTCACGTGGCTCCTGCTCACCTGAGATGTAGACCTCATTTTTTAATGTCACGCATGCAAACTCCACCCACTTCTTGTTCTCACTGTCCAGCTCGTGCTCCGTCAGCGGGAGCTTGGCCACCTCCAGGCGGCTGCGCCGCAGGGGATCCAGGCAGGTTACCTCCGCGACGAACCGTTCGTCCTTGGTGCAGCCGCCGATGATCATGAACACCTCGGACTGGAACTCGTGCATCCTGGGTTTGGTGCGCTCCGAAATGATCTGGAAACCAAACAGGGCAGGGAAGGGCAGGATGAGGCCAGCTTGTTCGGAGCCCAGTCTGTGGCGCCACCAGAGCAGGCCCAGTTCCCAAACCTGCCCCCGTGTGGCCCTGTGACTGCACCTCCTGAGCCTCAGTTTCCTCATCTGTGTGACGGGGTTGTAATGGGCCTACCTTCCAGGTCCACTGTGAGGAAGACCTGGGGTGACCCTGCAGTACACACCGCCCAGCGAGGGCTGGGTGCTGCTGCTGCGTTGCTATTTCTGCTTTAAGAAACGTGGGTCTATTCAGCACCCAGCGCTCCTTCCTCTTCCTCTGAAGTTTTCCGTCCTGGGATTTCACTTTGGGCTGCTGCCATTTCCAACCCTCGCCTAACTTCTCTCCACCCCTGGCTTGAATGTCTTGATGAGATCTCAGGCTTTGCTCACCAGCCTTCTCCTGGAAGAGGTGACCTAGACAGTGACCTCGTAAGAGCAGCGGGGACTTAGGAAGATGAACCAGAAGGGGTCGGGGTGCGGCCAGGAGGTTAGAGAACTGGGCCCCGTCGATGAGAGCAGACGAGGCGGTACATGGTGTCTGAAATTAGGCTATGAGAAGCACTACTGGGGCCAACAACGCACTGACCGTAGCTGGGAAGGTCCTAGGTTCACGGCCCAGGGCCTTCCTGTGCACATACCCACGATAGGCCAGCTAAGACTGGGGGGCGTGTGGCACAAGGACCCTGTCGGTGGAGGGGTCCTCTCTCTCTCAATAAACTAATAAATACACTTTCTTTCTCTGAAAGACGGTGGAAGCACTGTGCTTACATCCTGGTTGCTCTCTCTGGCTTTTGCAGATCCCTTCCTCTGGGGGAGCCGGCACCATGCAGAAAACCGCATGGTGAGACATAGGCCTCTGGCCGACTGACAGCAAGGGATGGGTGTCTGCCAGCCATCCTGGGAGTGAGCTTGGGCGTCCTTCAACCCCGCCTGAGCTTCGAGATGACTGCAGGCCCAGCCAGCAGCTTAACTGCAGCTACCAGACCCGAGGTCTTAAGGTGAAGCACTCTCTGGGTCTCCAGCCCCTCCTCTACTGTGCTAACTGGAGCCGTTCCCCATTCCATTTAGGAAAGGCACAGACCCAGGCCGGGCCCCTCCTGAGATGGACACTGAACCTGAGCTGTGAAATACTGCTTTTGTGTGCCACCTGGGCGCCATGTGGTTTTCTTTTTTTTTGCTTTTTAAAATTAAAAGCTAATGTTTTTATTATCTTTTTTCTTTCTCCTTTTTCATTTGATTTTTTCTTCTTCTTTCCTCTTTTCTAATTTATTTCCTTTTCTCTTTATCTTTATTCATTGGCTGCTCAGCCTCTACGCACTGTCTGGACAGATCCAAGTGAACAGGATCCAAACATCTGCATACAATTAGGGTCAGAACATTCCTCTATTCCCACTGAATCTGATGCACAAAGAGTGAAAACGGAACGGAAGAGAGATTGCAGATCACTTCCTCCTGTATGCTTCTGAACACTCAGATTGAACTTCAAGAATTAGGAGGAAACGCACCATCCACCAGATGACCAGAAGTCACTGCAGGGTCACAAGAAATATGAGAAAGCAAGAAAAACCTCTCCTCCAAGGGAAAAGAATAACTCCTCTTCATCCTCAGACAGTACAAGGAAATTCATGGAAATATCTGATAAAGAATTTAGAATATTCATAGTGACAAAGCTAACAGAAATGGAAGAGAAGAGAGACAATGAACTGCAGAAGAGGCAGGAGAAAGGAGCTGATGAGTTCCAGGAGGTGAGGACATTCTTGCAAGACTTAAAAGAGGAAATACACACTCTAAAAAAGAATCAAAGGGACCTTACAGATGAAGCTACAATACAGGAAGTCAAAATCTCCCTTGAAAGTATTAAAAGCAGACTAGATCATACAGAAAATCGATCTCAGATGTAGAAGATGGAATCACTGGTCTAGAAAAATCTACCACAAAGACTGAGAAAATTGCCCCCCAAAATGAGTATAATATACAAGAAATACTATATACCATCAAACATCCAAGTATCCAGATAATTGGCATCCCAGAAGGTGAAGAGTCTCATAAGGGCATTGACAATCTATTCCATGAAATCCTGCAAAAAAACTTCTCAAACCTAGGGAGGCATTCAAAGATTCAGTCCCAAGAAATACAAAGGACCCCAAATAGGATCAACCCAAGAAGATCTCCAAGACACATTATAGCCAGATTGACCAAAATCACAAGATACTAAGACTGGCAAGAGAGAAACAGCAAGTGACCTACAAAGGATATCCCATCAGGCTAACAGCAGATCTCTCATCAGAAACAATGCAAGCGACGAAAGAATGGGAAAATATATTCAAAGTGTTAAGGGAAAAGCAGTTTCAACCAAAATTACTATACCCAGCAAGATTATCCTTCATGTGGGAAGACAAGACAGGAACATTCTCAGATAAACAAAACCTGAAAGAATTTACGAACAACAGGCCAGATCTCTAAGAAATTCTTAAGGGAGTGCTATACCAGGAAAATTAAATACAGACACACAGAAATGCGAGTACAAAAACTAAGAAAATGACCAACTTAATGGTAGGGACAAGTCTGGAGTTGAATATTACATTCCAGAATTTAATTGGGAAGATTAACCCATAACACAAGATAAATTGAGTACATGAGACTGAACTGGTAAAATAGCATTTTATGATTTTTTTTTTTTTTTGGAGAGGTTTTTCACTATAGGGCGTGTGCGCTCGCCAGACAGACAGAGAGAGACATAGAGACAGAAAGCGAGAAATCACCCCCCAGGGGGGATGGCCACGCCGCAATCCCTTCTCCTCCATTCTCCTCTAGGGATCTTGGGCACGCATGCACACGCGCCCGGCGTGAGTTTTAAGCCACCGGGTCCGGGACACGAACCACGGTCGACTACGTGGGAGTCCAGCGACATAGCCATTACGCTAACTGCTGGTTCCCAGCATTTTATGATTTTTGAGTAAAACATTGCTGATTTTGTTCTTGGCTTAGTTTTCTAATTGTAAGGATTTTTCTCTTGTCTTGAGCTGCCGATAGGTTCGTGTTCCTACTACTTGAACAAAATCCTAACCTGTTTCCTGACTTTAAGTTTTTTTTTTTTTTTTTTTTCGGGGGTTTTTTTAAAAAATAAGGCGCGTGCGCTTGCCAGAAAGACAGAGAGAGACAGAGAGACAGAAAGCGAGAAATCACCCCCCGGGGGGATGGCCACGCCGCAATGCCTTCTCCTCCATTCTCCTCTCGGGATCTTGGGCACGCACACACATGTGCCCGGTGTGAGTTTAAACCACCAGGTCTGGAACTTGAACCAGTCAACTACATGGGAGTCCAGAGACATAGCTGTTACACCAACTGCTGGTCCCTCCTGGCTTTAAGTTTTTAGCCAAGTTCCTTGACATTTATTTGATTTATTAATGCTAAAACTGCTCTTCTTGAAATTAAAAAATCTATTAAAAAATCTATTTAATGACCATAGTAAGCTCTATAGCATCAGTTAGGTGCTACCTTATAGTATATTCATTCTACTCAGAGTTTCACACCTAAAGTCAGACATGTGTTCACAGATATGTCCATACCAGCTGAACTTGCTATTGAAAGTAGTTAGATTATTTAAGAAATTTTGTGAATCAATAAAATGTTGGGGGAAAAAAGAAACAGAAAACAACTGTAGACACCTGAGATAGTGTGGGAGGAGGGTGAGAAATGGCAGAGAGGGAGAAATAGGGATTAAAAAAATACACACACACACACACACACACACACACACACACATATGAAACTAGAAATGGAAAACTATTGATGACAACATGTATGATTAAGCCACTATGCAATATATTCTGGGTGGGAAATCACATTTTGTATGTTGTCACGATGCTCAGGGAAAGAACGGAAATTAATTAATTAATTTTAAAAAAAGTTTCAGAAGAAAATTACAGGGCACTTGTAACTAGATTCTAGCTTTGTCCATATTTTTAGTTTAAGGTATTTTGTGAATCAGTAAAATGTGGAAAAAAGTTTAGTATGCAAGGGAGCGAGGAGAAAGGGGAAGGGAAAAACCCGTGAAAGTATGCTTACTTGACAAAAAGTGAGAAGCTACTTGCTATAAGTTACAGTGACATCTTTGGTTTGACCGACATGCATAGTATTTGTGCTGGAAAAAGAAATGTTGTAAACTGTAAAGATGTGATTAAATGTAAATTTAAAAATGAATTAAAAAAAAAAAAAGCAGAGCAGATGGATGGACCTTCCTGGCTGTTGGTCACCCACAGAGCCTACACCAGGGACCAAGCAGAGCAGACGGCTGGATTCCTGGCTGCCGGGGGCCCACAGAGCCTACACCAGGGACCAAGCAGAGCAGACGGCTGGATTCCTGGCTGCCGGGGGCCCACAGAGCCTACACCAGGGACCAAGCAGAGCAGACGGCTGGATTCCTGGCTGCCGGGGGCCCACAGAGCCTACACCAGGGACCAAGCAGAGCAGACGGCTGGATTCCTGGCTGCCGGGGGCCCACAGAGCCTACACGAGGGACCAAGCAGAAGTGACCTATTACTCCAACGAGCTGTCCTCAGAAGTGGAGCCTCGGCCCCACTCTTCACGTAACATGCATGTCAGA